CCTATATGTAAAAGTCTATGCTGAGGATCCTGCAACCCTTCTAAGAATTGGGGGGGAGGGTGGAAGAAAAAAAAAGAAAAATGAGAAATAAAGAAGTAGTTGAAACCAGACGCCAGAAAAAGATACAGCCAAAAGCAGATAACAAGAGAGATATTTCAGAAAAGGAGAAGACACTGAGCTCATGGGAGAGCTTTTTGTAAGGTAAAAGACAGCTGAAAAGATCAGACAGATGTGTGTGCATGTGCACAAAGTAGGAGTTTTACACAGTGAATTTTGCAAAATTAAAAGATTTGGCAGGTGATCAACACTCATGACATAGAACCTCAGTTAGTAAAGAGAAAGATGAAAGAAGTCTATGTTCCTCTTTTTTCTCTACTAGTGACTAGTGGTATAGCAGAGGGGAACTGAGAAGGTGGATGGATGTTTGTCTGAAAATGGAAGACAGGTTTAATGGGATGAATTTGAAAGGGCTGACCTAGTAGGAGAACTTGAACTAAAGGCAGTGACCACTGAATCAGCAGAGGAATAGAAACCAGTTGGAGAAAGAGGGACAATAATAGCAGCAGGGTCAAAGAAATTAATGGATTGGGGGCTTAAAAAGAGCTGAAAGATAAAGTGGTGAGTGATTTGTGGAGGAACGATTTATGTGCACGCAGAGCAAGGACCAGGGCATTAAACTCAGTATCTGAGAAACTGAATCAAAATCGGGACTTAGTGAAAACTCACTAGAGGTCTGCTAAAGCTGAAACAGTAGCTGATGCTTTGACATGAAAGAAATGTCAAGGAAAAAGGGACAGTGAGAGAGAAAACAGGCAGGAAGTTTCACGTTAAATCAGCAAAGGCTTGATGGTTTAGCTGAAGAATTACAGCATATTTCTGTAACATCGTTAGGGTTCTAATTCCACTGGAAGTCAAGATGCAAACATTTCCCAGTATTCCTGCTATGAAATCTGCCCCCTTCAATCTAAGGGTGATGTCCTTTATGAGCTCCTAAGCAGTGGGCTTACAGTACTGGATTCTTGTTAATCAGAGGAGTGTGGCAGTGAAATATCACTGACATAAGCTGTGTTACAACCACTTATGTTTTACAGAAACAAGGAGAGGATCTGGCCTCATTTTTAATAAATACAAAGAATGCATAATGCACATACTCAACTGCTGTAAAACTCTGACATTTTCTCTTCCCCATCTCCTTATTGCCATAAGAAAGTTATTGCCTAGTTCTATGCAACTGTGCTGAATATATTATTGTATTTACATACACACTTGGAAGGTAGCATAAATAATAAATTAATATTTTTTCCCCAGTGTTGAAGGAACTCTGCAAAGTTTCTGCTATTCTTTAAAAGAAATTACTGTACCCAGCAACTAATAATCACTTTTTAATTGAAGGAAAATTGAATGAATGAATGACTGTGGTGTGAGTGGTTTGGTGGTGGAGGACATAAAGGTTTCAGTGTGAAGAATCTAGTTATCTCTAAACAGAAGCCTCAGAATACAGAAGTCTCAGAATATACCTTCCCCTTCCCATCCCCCCCCGACTAATACATATCTTCATACAGATTTTGGTAAGACTCAAAATAATTGTCACTCTTGCTTGAAATGGATAAACTTGAGTGTTGAATAAAAATATGTTCCTCTTCATGAGTACACAATGACTTTTAGTTACCTGTGTATGTTGTAAGAATATTTAGTGGGTACTAACTGAAACACATTAGGCTAGTAGATAATTTTTGTGATGTGAAAAACTCAGATATAACAAACTGCCTGTTAATCAACACCATTTTGAATGAAGAAATTGGAAAACATCATCTCACTTATATTTATTACATGCAAATAAAATTGTTCCACATGTAAAAATAGTATGAGATATTTATTTAAAACATTAAAAGAAAAGAGCTCAAAGAATAACAGGAACTGGCCTTTACAATTCTCTTGATATTAGCCACTCCATTTTTCATCAAGACAGATTTATTGAGATCATATATCTATAAGTTGGGTAGGACCAATTTTCCCCTGAAAAATAGTGTAATGAAAAATGTGTAATGTTGGTTAGATGTATGACATTTGTTGTCTTCTGATATTTTAAATAACAAGATATGGTCTGAAAACTCACTCCTTCAGAAATGCTAAATGTAATTAATCCCAGTAATTAAACTGAAAACATTTGCTTAATAAAATTAACAGCTTTAGCCAGATCTACATGAAAAGTTATGCAATTTTTCTATTTGAATAACAGTGGTTTAACTTAAAAGTAATTAGCTACATATTAGAGAGCTTTTAATTTTCTTTGAATACAGATTCTTCCAAGAAACTATAACACCTTCTGATGACTGATAACATGGTTCTACCACAACTGAATAGTAACTAAATAGTTAATATTATGCTGATTGAGAACAGAAACTGGATTTTAAATTGAAGACTTTTATACAGTTGACAGATATATTTCAAATTTTCATAAATCTAGATAAAAAAGTTTTCTTTCTCTGTCCAGAAATCTGTGAGTACAGCTATGCCCTTTTATTCTGCTGAAATATAGTTATTGAACAATTGTAAATGATCAGATTTAGTAATACTGTCTGATTCTCAGCTGCTGTTGATTGCTCTGGAAGAACAAGATTAAGAACTTGTAAGTATGTAATCTAACCGTCTGAAAGTGAAAAGAAGATGGACTCCTTACAAGGAAAATATGTGTAATGTAGTCAGTTTAACTAATAAATTAAAATATTTAAATGTGTGGCAGATTTCTATCCTGTACCTAAAAATATACCCAAACTACATGAAGAGTCAAACCATTTATCAGACTGTATATTTTCAGGGGCTCTATTCCTCTTCTATACTTGTAACTGCGATGTTAAATACCAAGTAAAGGCATGATAGTCTCGTTCAAAACCTACACCCTGCAGAAGTACTCCTTGGATCCTGAAACCATATCAGTATGGATGAAGCTTAAGTATTTTATGTTTCAGGCAAAACATTGAAAAATATAACAGAAAAACAAATTCAAAGCTGACAGAGCATATGGAAAAACTATAAACATTCACCTAATTTGGCCTTTTCTGCCTATTGTTAGGTTGCTCAATTTAAATTACGTACTGTTACTTTCATCCCTGTAAAAAGGGATGCCCATCAAACCTTGGGTATAGCCAGAAAATTACACATCTGCATTCAAAACTGCCTATCAGCCTATCCAAACTGGCCCACTCTTAATGCAGAAAGGAATTTTGCTGGTGTAGTGAGTGCTCTTTCAGAAAAATCTAAAAGTTATAACAAAATAGACATTATTTGGAATTTTAAATTTTAACTCAGATATCTTTAAAAACCACAGTCCTCAAGATCAAAAGTATTCATTCATCGTAAAGCAAGCAATAAATCCCTAACTGGATTACTCACCTATTTCCACAAGAAAGCCTGCAGGAAGAAGTAAAGATATCACAGGAAACTTTTCTGCTAAGAATACTCTGGCTTTTTGCCACTAGAAGAGGACGGGACATTATTTTGGACACAGAATTTGAATTCTGTTGGACATAGGCTTAAAAAATCTAAGTGACAGGAAAGGCTTCATGTCTATACAGAAGATTCAAAGAGAGGAAAAGAGATGATGGAGAGGAGGAAGACATTATGCACTTTCCTCCTAGTCTTACATCACATAAATTTTTGTTCTGCTGTCAGAACCTCACCCTCTTCTAATATGGGAGAAAATCTGGGGGGAAATCATGAAGGAAGTAAAAGAGTATCTTCCTAGATGGTGACATATGTATAGACAGAAAAGTGATATATATTCCTGGGTGCAGTTTTTGCCCATCTATGGTGGTGTGTCTCTGACTCTTTGTAACGTGTAGCAATGTTCATTTTTTATCCATAAAAAACATTATATGGAAATAACTAACTTCCTTACATTGCTAGTCTCAAACACATGACTAACCGAGGTGAAGAATCCAAAAGCATCAAAATCTCATTTGAGACAACATATAAATTCTTTAAAAATCTGAAACTAAAACCTTTAAAAACTAAGTGCCAAGGTATTCAGGAATAAATTTTCACTGACTTTTAACCTTCCAATACTTTTAAAAATTATAATATTATAATATTGGATGGCTAATCACTCAGGTGCTTTGAAAACTGAAGTTGTATAGGTCATATAATCCATTTCTTAGATATCACTGTGAGAGCCTTGCTATAGCAACAAAATCATTGAAGGCTTCATGTATTTTGCATGGCTTGAATCCCAACATGATTTTAAAGTAAACTGACTTTTCTGCAAATATTAGAAGCTTAAATTTTAAAATTTTAATTTTTATTTAATAATTTTCAGTAATTGTAATTAAAAATTTCCATATATATTTACAAAATCAATATTTAAAAAGTGTTTCTAGCATTCTGACACTACTGCTTCGATATCGTTACTATTACATTATATTAATAGCATTCTGTATGTTGTAGCTGAAACATTTTTATTGTGTAGATTGTAAGTAAATTTTTCTTGCATTTTATTAAATATCCTTCCTTTGTAAATAATCAAAAAGCTTAAAAGGGTAGTTAAATGCCTTAAAGCAGTGGCTCTTAATCTTCTTTCACATCTTTTACAATGTATTTTTAGTTCCTCCTGGACAGACAATACTATAACTTTTGGAGTGTGGAGACAAGGTATGCAATGTTTTCTGGAGAGCATGTGACTGGGGGAGACTAGGAGACAAAGGGGAAATTCAGCTGGTAGGTAATGGTCAAGGCATGGAGAGGACTAATGGGACACAGGAACAAAGCAGCACAGAAAGCTGGACAATAGGGAGCCAGAGATCCCATTGCAGGAGTTTCTGTGAGACTCAGCAGGATAAAACTTACAGCTCACAAGACACAGCTTTCTTTTAGTCTTGGCTTCACCACCTCCAACCCCCAAACCAATACATTGTCCTATTCTGCTCTCCTGCTGCTATGTCACCTGAGGGTATGATCTACTCACTTGGAGCACCTCTATCTCAGAGTAATACATGAAGTCTTACCTCAACAATATCTGAATTCGTTCGACTCTCATGTGGCTCGTTGTACTCGGTATATTTCAGCAACACTTTGTCCATATCAGTGCTGGCATACTGGAACAGTTTGTTGGTGCTGTTGAAGATGATCAGAGCAATCTCACAGTCACACAGAACACTCAGCTCATAAGCCTTCTTCATTAACCCAAATTTCCTCTTTGTAAAGGTCACCTGGAAAAAAAGCAAAAGTCCATCAGAACCCTACAAGTTACAGTCTGTAGTCCTTCTCCCTTTTTACTGCGACTGCGGTAGTCTTTGAATAGAATATGTTCAGAAGACAAATGCATAAATATAATTACAGTTACAAATAGAATATATATGTGTGTGTATGTGTGTCACATAAGGGAGTAAATATATGTAATTATCACTGCACAAAACTTGAGGTACAGGTAAGGAGAATGAGACATTTTCATTTAGTGGTGCTATGAAGTGTTGATGCTGTATCTCTCTCTAACTTCTAAATTCAGATACCCTTTAGACCGCATACATCTTTCCCATCAATATTTAAAAACTGCATCTCAGATAAGCACCTGTAAATAGTTTGAACATGTGCAGTCAATTCTTATTTTTGATAGCGATTGACTTTGATTGCAAACTCCTCAACTCCTGCTAGATTTGAAGCAAAGAAATCATTTTATAAAGCATTTAAGTAGTGTAAAAGAGATACATTGTTCATGTAAACATGTTCACAATAGTTTTGAAGAAATATAAAGTGTTAAAAATTCAAACATTCATATGAGAAATGAGAGTTTTAAAGCATGAACAAAGAACAAACAAAAGCTGGTCAGCCAGTCAGACTTTTGAAAAAAGGTCTTTTCTAACCACATAGTAGATTTTATTTCATTTCAAGCTATATCCTTAGAAATATGAACTGGCATTTTTTAGTACAAGGGGTCATATTACACAGGAAAAAAATAGGGATGGGCTTATAAATTCTCAGAATGCCAGTGAATGCCCAGACATCATGCAAAATCCAGGCAGCATGAAAAATACAATTATTCAGTTCAAAACCCTAATTTTCCAAGGGGACTGCTTTGACAATGAAAGACCTGCACATTAAACAATTTTTTTCCTCTTTTTTTCTCCATTAGCTTACAAGTTCCAGTAAGATATGTGACTCGAAATAGGAAACTACGAAAAGCTGTTTAACTTAATTATATGGTTAAATTTATCTCCTTCTGTTTCTTCATATGTGCAATTTCCATTAAATATATGTGATTCTTTACACATATTTTATTCTCTAATAATTTTCAGTGACAAGGATTTTTAAGAAAAAAATATGGCTTTGCTAAGCCTATAATTAATCAAATTTAGCATGTAGTCAAGGTACTTAATAGGTCAAGGACAGGCACACAACCAAGTTTATAGGTCTGCCTAATTCTGCACTTGTTGCTACCATTACCTGTACACCCATAAGCAGTGGCATCACTGCACTTTAATACTGAGGCAAGAAGATTCATTTGCACACCAGTCATATGGCTGCTGTTTTATCTTGTCACACTCCTAATGCAAGTTAATGCTAACTGCAATCCTAGACTACCTTAAAATCCCAGCATGTCAGGCCATGGAAAACATGACTTTTAAGTATTGCCAATCCCTATTTGCTAGACCATCTTAGAAAGACGAGGCTCTGTGCCAATACTATGAACACTTATTCTCCCAAATGTATACTGAATGTTATTCCTCTTACTGTAAATTTCATTTTAGCCTCTGTCAATGTACTGTAAAAAAAGGTGGATTGGCATTAAATACAATTATTCAAGCATTGTAAAAACACATTTTCCACAGCACTGGTCTCAAGTATGCATAATTAATAGTTAGTTCTTTCTAAATTTTTCTATCATGGCTTTTGATAGTTGGAATGAATAATGAGATAGGTAATAAAACTTCACTCAAATTCTAAAAAAAAAAAATAAATTAAAAAAATCCTGTCTTTAAAATACTCCTTTAAACTTTTCTCTGATTAGAGAAAATTGCAATGCAATTGTTGAATCATATATATATAAGCTTGTTTTAGAAATAACTAAACTTGCAGAAAATAAAATGTACTAATTCAACATATTTTCTGCCTCTACCATGCCTTTCAATCAACTTTTTGACCACAGTGTGTTAGGTGGAGTGTCTCTGTACAATATGGTTTCTGTTGCGCAGAAACCTCTGCATTTAGCATGTTATAGCTTTTCACCATCAAAGTACACCCTAGTACAGAAATATCCTTAAAGCCACTGTTTGTGTTTACTGTTAGGTGCTCCTAAACATTTAGAAAAACCACACAGCTGTGCTGCACAGCAGATACTTATTTCATAACACTTATCACCAGAATGATGCTGGTTAGAGTTCCTTTTTTTGGAAAGTGGAAAAAAAAAAGAGAAAAATAAATCAGCTAGATCTTTCTTTTCTCTTTCTCCATTATATAATCTTAACTGATCTGAATTTGATTTGGTTTTAACTCCTTGATTTTTTCTAATATTTTCTAAACGTATCAGCTAATGCTTTCTCTAACTGCTGGTAAATGAATTTAAAACAATTGTATCTATTACTGTTTCTGTGGTGATGTGGAATACTAGTTTTCAAATGTGCCATTCATAGTGGTTTATCTTTACATATATATAATACATATATATATTTGTATATATATAAATTTATTATGCTTTTACACCAGTTTATGGTAGAGGTGAACTTGTATTTTTGAATGTATAGTGAAAGGTCAGGCCAGTAACTTCAGAAGAGATTAAGAATATTCTTCAAGCCATTTTAAAAAAAGAAATTATCTTTTTTGATACATTCTTCTATGTGGCTACATAAGATGAATACACCATATGCTAAAACATTTTTGTGAGCAATATAAGTAAAAAGCATGTTTATTACTTAAATTTTTTGGCTATGACTTTGTTCATTATTTGCTATGTTAACCATACTCACCTACACTAAAAGTATCTAATAAATATCGTTAACAATATTCTAGTATTGCACAAGTTATCCTGAGTGGTAAAAATTAGTATAAATTATTTAAAACATCTGTTCTGTTTTGTATAGTTGGAAGGCAGTGTGCAGCCTACACTTAAGAAGCTCTGATTACACTTGAACCGACTTAGTGCTAAGAATGAACAAGACACACACATTGGCATGAATACAAGCTGTAGCTACAGTACCAAAAATTTAGGTGTTTACATAGTCTTGTTATTATATATTGTGTTCAAAGTTCTGTCTTGATAGCGTCATATAACAGCTGACAATGTTACTTTGTCATTTGGCATAAAGAACACTAGTGAAAATACACATACGAGACAATTCATCAACATATTTTAAAAAAGGCATCCAAAAATGCCTACGTTTCAATATTTCTTTAATATTTAAGTTTTTTCAGTAGCAAGAATAATATTGCTACCTGGTTCACAAATTCACTTCTCTTTAGGAGAAGAGTAGGCAATTTAGGAAGTCTTTCTCTTTTTGAGATACTTTATAATAGTGTGAGAACTGGAAAAAATGGAAGTGGAGTGGAGGGACAAAGTGGAACAGATAAAAGGCTTTTATCCGTTATCAATCATTTATCAATGATCTTTAAAACCTTTTTAAGCCCATGTATATAAAGCACTGGGTTTTAAACAATGAATTTCTAAATACTGGTATGAGGTGCTTTTTTATGCATAGTTTCATATGTATAGCAAAAGGAGTAGTGTGAAGAAAGTACCACAATTATTTCTGAAACCTACAAAAATACCTTAAAGTCATCCCTTCATATTAGCTGAAAACCCACTAGTCTACTGCACTTGTCTTAGCTGTACGGTTATGATAGTTATTTAATATTTATTTATTTATTTATTTATTTACTATTTATTTTCAATTTATTTGCCCTCTTAACAGGAATAGCAGTACCAAGAAGTTTCTAAAGCCTGCAGCATTTTTGTATATGAAGAAGCATTAATTCTGATGACTTGGTATGCTGTGAGCTAATCAAGATGGTGCTTGGTTAGAAAATACTCACAGTGAAATAGCCAACTTTTAACTTCCTTGATATAAATCGAGCTTTTTATGCATTTTGGATGAAATTCTAACTAAAGGTGAAACCCATGTGCTAAAGGAAAGGCACTGACAAAGGAGGATTTTTAAAAGGATGCTTTTCCACTTCAACTCTAGCTCTTAAATTTTATGGAAACGCCTCTCACATGGCATAGTCATTGCAATATCTGCAAGTGGAGCTGTAAACAGCCTGAAATCAAGTGTGTGTATCACACACTGTGCTATGTTCCATTTAAAGGGAGCAGAGGAGACTTTCTTGTTTAATTGCTAGTAAGTTCAACTTACTTAAACTATATAAATTAGAAGGTAATGTTGCCTGGTTGCAAGTACAAATCTTTCATCTGTTGAAATTTAAATTTATCTTTATGGGTTATACTGGCCACTGGTAATAATCTTTATTTAACTAAATTTGTAACAACAATACTTCTGATAGATGTTAAGGGATCAGTGAAGAAACAGTCACCATGTGGTCTTTTTTTTTTTTTTTTTTTTTTTTTTTTTTGATAGGAGTTGGTTTCGGATTAGTTTAGTTTAGTTTAGGTTTAGGTTTAATTCAGGTCCTTCTAGTAATTTTTCTGAAATCTCACATAATATGAGAGGCTGAACCATAACATCACTCCATATTTGCCACTAATAGTCACAGCATGCGTGCTAACATTTTATGTTTTCAAAGTAGCAGTCCTGTGATCTTTCAAGCAATTCAGTCCAGACAGTGTCAAAATATCAGTGCTCTCCTTACTTCTTCCTATTCTGATTATGAAGATATATAGCTGCTGACACAGAAAAATGAGAGAAACAGGGAATTTGCACATAGTCCTTTCCATATACATTTCCTGCCATTAAACATGTGAAAAACAGGGACCACTGATGCACAGAAATATCCGATAGTGGCACTACCCCATCAAAAAAAAATTTATTCTGTTTGTCCTTATTTCATCTGGAATGTCTAAATTTCTGATGTAGGGACTAGAGTAGGCATGGTAGATACAATGTATGTGACAAATACCAGATACTACATGAGCACCTCAAGTAGTGCTGTGTCCAGTTCTGGGCCCCTCAGTTCAGGAAGGATATTGAGGTGCTGGAACAGGTCCAGAGAAGAGCAACAAGGCTGGGGAAGGGACTCAAGCACAAGTCCTATGAAGAGAGGC